TCATTCAACTGCTCCTTCAGTTCTACCAATTCCGATGCTGACATACGATACGGTGTCATCAAAATCGGTCTAGTACCGGGAACTAGATCAATAGAAAACTCAACTTCCCTTTCCGGCAGTACATCCGCAATCACCTCCGGAAACACTTCTGGGAAATCACACACCACTGGAAACACATTAGCTCAACTTTGCTCTCCACAGACAATGATACAAACAAGCCGAACAACTGAGCTTCGTCCGCTAAAAGTTTCTTCAACTCTTTAGTGGATAGAAAACTCTCACCTTCATCATCTTCCAAAGAAGGAAACCTTACTAACTTGTGATAGCAATCTAAATGAACTCTATTAAATTGCAACCAGTTCATACCCAAGATCACGTCCAAACCTTCCAACGGCAAACACACTAAATCCATAATGAAGTCTTTATCATACATGGTCAAAGAACAACTTACACACACCAAAGAAGTAGTTACCGACCCCGAAGCGGGAGTCTCAATAACCATGTCTCCACTCAAAGAAACCATGCACAAACCCAAACGCTTAGCACACTCAAGAGAAATGAACGAATGAGTCACTCCAGTATCAATAATAGCAACTAAAGGCATATTATTAATAAAGCATGTACCTTTAATCAAGCGATCCGCATTAGTAGTGTCTGAACCTGCTAATGCAAATACTTTTCCATCCGACTGAGCTTGCTTTGGTTTAGTACACTTGGTGATAATATGACCAACTTCCCCACAATTAAAACACTTTACCACATTCCTTCTACAACCAGAAGTGGCATGTCCAAGACTTCCACAATTAGCACACTTCTCCACAGACTTCCCACATTCAAAAGATTTGTGGCCCATCACGCCACACTTGTAACATTTGACCGCACCAGAACTTCCTCCTTCGGGTCTCCTGTCAAAGTTTCCCTTATACTTGCCCTTATCAACAGGCGTCACATAAGGTCCACTCCTTACTTGTTGCTTGCCTTTCTTCTCACTCAAACTCTTATAATGAGTAGATCGAGCCCTGCTGTCCTCTTCAAAAATCCTACAACATTCGGTCAAGTCCGAAAATCTTCGTATTCTTTGGTATCCCACCGCTTGCTTTATCTCAGGACGCAAGCCATTCTCATACTTAATGCACTTAGAGAACTCCGCCATAACCGCCACATAATGAGGATGAAACTGAACTAATTCCACAAACTTAGCCATGTAGTCCACCACGGACATATTGCCTTGCTTTAGCTCAAGAAATTCCATTTCCTTTTTCCCCTTTACACTCTCAGGATAATACTTTCTCAAGAATTTGGTGCGAAATAAATCCCAAGTGATTTCCTTGTCATCCACCTCAAGAACTTGCCTCATACTGACCCACTTGTCGTCGACCTATTCTCTCAACATGTGAGTTCCAAGTCTCACCTTGTTTCCTTCAGCACATCCCATAACTCTAAAGATTCTCTCAACCTCCTTCAACCAGATCTGAGCATCGTCCGGATCAAACCTCCCTTTGAATACCGGCGGCTGATTCTTTCTAAACTCGTCATTAGCGTTCGCATTCGGTGCACCTTGCACTGCCCTAGCCATAGCCTCCAACACCGCAGCCATAACATTGTCATTACGACCAGCCATATTCTGATGATTCACAAAAATAACAACAAGGTTAAACAACCGTTCAACCAACACAACAACAAGACAGACACAAGTGACTCAACACTGGCTCTGATACCACTTAATGTAACACCCCCTTTCTATACCCCAAATAAACAATTAAATCATTTAGGCACTTAATAAAATTTTTCATCAGAGTATAAATTAACACATGGTATAAAAGAGGCACGTCACATTATCCAGGAAATTTTAAACACATACAACACCTGCTCATAAAGATATGCAACAAAGGGTAAATCACCACAAAGGAACTTAGTCCTTAAAACCCACATATCAATATTTAGAATAAAAGCGGAAACATCTAAACATTGAATCACTTTATTCATATAAACATTATATACATCAACAGTTTAATTCAATTCATAAGTCATGTTTACAAAACATTCACCAGCAGATACATACACATATGTATCACAAAAGAATTAAAGTAATTCCTAACTACCCGGTGCTACATATCAGAGCCAACCGACCAAAAAGGATGAAGCCACGCTTCACAAAAGACCTCCAGCAAACCTACTCTGCAATGCCTCATAGAGCATCATAAAACAGCAGAAGGGTGAGAAACATTATCATAACAAACAATGCATATAATTATGTATCTATATACACCAACATAGAATACACATAACACATCTCTCACTGCAATTCATCACAATTCATCACAACCTCACAATGTATATCTACACAACTAAGCATGTTCACCAATCATGCTTCACAATTCACAACACTTGCACATAAACATTTACACTTATGTTTACTTCAATAATTCACATAAAAATACACAATTATGTTCATTACACCAATACATCATATGAAGATGATAATGCAACTCATAGAGACCGACTCACGACTCTATGCAGATGCAAATGCGGTACCGACTCATTTAGCAGGTTCAATTGAAGAACCAAATGGAACCATCGCTCGTTACCGAAGTAACTCCCCGTCGGGCCTACGATGTTCACCCTTCGCTCACACCCCACATGGGCACACGATGTTTCAGGATTGCTCACACCCCACACGGGCACACAATCCGATTGCTCACACCCCACAAGGGCACACAATCGTTCTGCAGATTCTCCACGGAATCAAATATAAACCACCGCTCACACCCCACAAGGGCACACGATCGTTTCTGCAGATCCTACGCGGGATCAGACACACAAGAATGCAATCATGATGCTTCACATGCAAAACGACTCCACACACTCTTGAAATGCATACATATTCACAGATATATAATCATGCATTCTTCACATCATACAAGTACATACAATTATGCACATTCACATCAATCTCATCATGCATTTTCATTCAATTCAAACAAATGCACAAAATTGCCAAACGACCACATTTAACACTCCACGATTCACACTCTAGGATTCACGCCATACGGCTACCCACAACATTTCATATCATAACATACAACTATGCATAATAGGAAAGGATTAATCATACTTGAATCGAAGAATCGACATTGGAGTGAAAACACAAGAAAACAACATGCTAACACGCTCGCTACCTGTTCGCCTAGCGAACAAGCTCGCGAAGGCAAACAGAAGCCACTGACTTGATTCGCTACCTCACTCGCTCAGCGAAGGCCTAGCGAATGCTCGCTACCCCCCTTCGCTACCAGCGAAGAACACCAAAACCATTCTGTCCAAGTCTGGGACCGTTCGCTATTGGCTCGCTACAACGAATGCCCAGCAAAGGCTCGCGACCTGCTCGCCTAGCGAACTTGCTAGCGAGGGTCTGCGAACTCAGAATTTCCCACTGTCAAAAACTCCGAAACTCCTCAAAATCCACCCGATTCAATTCCAACTCGTCCCAGTAGCCTTAGCCCAACATTCCTCAACTAAACTTTACCACTTATTCTCATTTTTAACCGTTAAAACTCGATTTCTATCGATTAAATCAAATTCAACCTAAAAATGGAAAATGAGCAAAACTTTCCCCAATCCAAAATCAAACCAATAGAAACATACATAATCATACACATCGAAAGAATAATAAAGTTTCTCACCCTTACCCGATTAAATCGAAGCTTAGAAGTTGATTCTTGATGATTCTAGGTTTTTCCTCCTCTTCCTCCTCTTTTCTCTTCTTTCCTTTCTATTTCTTTCTATCTCTTTTCTTTTCTCTCTATTTCCACTTATACTCTTTCTATTCTATTTCTCTCAAATAACAACTAATTAAGGATTATCTAAAACTCCCTCTAATTAATTCCCAAAACTCTCCGAATAATAAAATAACATAATATGCGCACATAACATATTAATATTCAAATTTCACAAATGAAATAATAATCAATCAAATAAATCAAAAGACTCAACAAAATGGGAAATTAGAATCGGGGCGTTACATTCTTCATAAAATTTTTCCAATCTTTGAGTGTTTATGCATTTGAGGAGTGGTAGAACTCTTGTTGAGATGACACGTCCAAAAAACACTCCCCTTCCCCAAAATGACACTCCAGATACAGAAGAACAATTATTAAATCGACGGTTGGTGGCACAAGAACTTCAACTTCTATTTGAATTATCGCTTCTGTAATAAGCCAAATGTTATATAAATTAGGTCGAGTAGATTGAGCTTGAGATATTTTGGGTCTTGGTCAATTGGGCCTTCAACCGGTCCATAGCAGTTATCACAAAACACAAAATCTCTCATCGAGTCTCTATACTCAAGAAATTCCCTACTAATTAAATCATAGGTTTTTCAAAATCTACCTAAAAGATGAGAAAATATTTTTTTGGATCTCTTAGCTAAATCCAACAACTAATTCACAATCACAACTTCATCCACCAAGAATCTCTCCCTCAAAGAGAGATCAATTTATCCATAACTTTAACTAACATTAACGTCAATATTTTTTTAACTTACTTCAAATTATACCCTTTAAATTGAATATAATCTCATAGTTAATTAAGTAAAATAAGTAAAATGTTAATCTAACTATTAAATTAAATTAAATAAAAAAATTATGATTTAAAATAAATAAAAAAAAACTTATTGTTGGAATAAATTGATCTCTGCTCCTCTTTATTTATTAATTTACATTTACATACACCTGTCAAATAAATATATACAACCGCCACCAATAAATAGGCACAAAAATTTTCCCATAAAAACCCCACTAGTAATTTAAGTTAAAAAAACATAAACGCGTCTATAAAATTTCCTCTCTGCACTTGAGGAAGAAGACAGTGTTTGAGAGAAACAAAATCTCTCTTATTTTATATATACATGAATTTTCAGATTCGGAGTTTGATTCACTAAGTCTTGCTTCTTCTGAATCAACCAAACCATCACTCTCTCTGATTCACCAAAACAAAACAAAAAAATGGTAAATCCTCGTTTTCCTCGCTCCAGGATCCGACCCTTCAGCTTCCCCTTCACACTCATCGCTCTCTGCATTTTCCTCACTCTCTCGTTTCTCTTCACAGCCCATTCTTATTCCTCTTATCAACAACACAACTTGGTAAGCTTTTGTTTTCACTTTCATTTCGTGAATTTGTCACACCCCTTTTGTGGTTGTGATTTTTTTTTTTTGTGGTAAAGTTTGTTAATTTTTGTCTTTTTTGTTTCTGGGTTTGTTTAATTTGAGGAAAAAATTGGTGGGGTTGGGTTAGTTTTGGATCTTACTATCTAGGTTCAAGTGGGTTGGGATCTGATTCTTGAATCATTTAGGGTTTGATGGAATTTTTTTTTCTTTTTCTGGGAAAGTAAGTATAGAAATTTGATTATATAGTTTATCTAGGAAAAGAAAGATTTGATTTGATTTGATGAAGCTGTGTTAATCTGTTATGGATTTGTTGTATTAGGATTCTGATGGTGGTTCTTTACATGGATTTGAATCGATAAGGAGATCCGTTTTGGCGTTGAAAACGGATCCCCTTAAGCCTCGGTTGGATCAGATCCGAAAGCAAGCAGATGATCATAAGTCTTTAGCTCTTACTTACGCTTCTTATGCACGAAAGCTCAAGCTTGAGAGTTCAAAGCTCGTTAGGATTTTTGCGGAACTATCACGAAACTTCTCGGACTTGATGAGCAAGCCTCAATATAGGACTCTTTTCAGCAATGATGCGATCCCGATTGATGAATCGGTAGTTCGTCAATTGGAGAAGGAAGTGAAGGAGCGGATTAAAACCACGCGACAGGTAATTGGTGAAGCCAAGGAGTCGTTTGATAACCAACTGAAGATTCAGAAGTTGAAGGATACTATTTTTGCTGTCAACGAGCAGTTAACGAAATCGAAGAAGCAGGGTGCTTTCTCGAGTTTGATTGCTGCCAAGTCCATTCCGAAGAGCTTGCATTGTCTAACAATGAGGCTGATGGAAGAGCGGATTGCTCATCCGGAGAAGTATACAGATGAAGGGAAGCCTACTCCTCCTGAAGTTGAAGATCCCAATCTTTACCACTACGCGTTGTTCTCAGACAATGTTGTAGCTGCGTCTGTTGTGGTTAATTCAGCGACAAAGAACGCAAAGGAACCGTGGAAACATGTGTTTCATGTTGTGACCGACAAGATGAATCTTGGAGCTATGCAAGTGATGTTCAAGTTAAAAGATTACAACGGCGCACACGTTGAAGTTAAGGCAGTCGAGGATTACAAATTCCTGAATTCCTCTTACGTGCCGGTCCTTCGACAACTCGAGTCCGCTAACCTACAGAGATTTTACTTTGAGAACAAGCTCGAAAATGCTACAAAGGACACAACAAATATGAAGTTCAGGAATCCGAAATATTTGTCGATATTGAACCATTTGAGATTCTACTTGCCGGAAATGTATCCGAAGTTGCATAAAGTTCTATTTTTGGATGATGACATAGTAGTTCAGAAGGATCTTACTGGTTTATGGAAGATTGACATGGATGGCAAGGTGAATGGAGCTGTAGAAACATGTTTCGGGTCATTCCATAGATATGCACAGTACATGAATTTCTCGCATCCTTTGATCAAAGCTCGATTTAATCCAAAGACTTGTGCATGGGCTTATGGAATGAATTTCTTCGATTTGGATGCTTGGAGAAGGGAAAAATGCACGGAAGAGTATCATTACTGGCAAAATCTGGTAACTCTTTTGAACTCTAATTTATATTATCGTTATTCTGGTATTCGTGTAGTATATATAAATAACTTGATATGTTGATGATTCTGCAGAACGAGAACCGAACACTATGGAAACTAGGGACATTACCACCCGGGCTAATCACATATTACTCAACAACGAAGCCGCTAGATAAATCATGGCATGTTTTGGGCCTTGGTTATAACCCAAGCATCAGCATGGATGAGATTAGCAATGCAGCTGTGGTGCATTTCAATGGTAACATGAAACCATGGCTTGATATTGCAATGACTCAATTCAAACCACTTTGGTCTAAGTATGTCGATTACGAGTTAGACTTTGTTCAGTCCTGCAATTTTGGTATCTAAAAATGGTTAAGTTTCTTCGCACTTGATCGTGATGATTGTGTCGTGTACCCGCCGCAGCTGTTATTTTATGGTTATTTTTTAAAATATATATATTGCCTATACATTTTTAGCTGAGATTCTAGTTTTGCAAGAAAAATTCTTGCTTTTTTTATCTAATTGTAAAATACTTTAGTATAGTAATTATAATTAGAACATGTATTTCTCTTATTTATTCATGTTATAATGTGTAAGCAATAATTGTTATGTTGAAATTTTCATTGATGTTCCATTAGTTGCTTAATTTGAAGTTGTTTTGTACCTTCCAAAGTTGGCTTCTGCTGTTTCTTTCTCTCTTCTTTTAGGTTTTTAGGTACAGAAGCATATAGTGCATTGTTACGAATTATTTTATATCATGTTGAATTGAGTGTGTGTTAAGAAGTCATATAATCCATTTATTTTGGATAGTATAAGACATTGTAGACTAATTCATTTCAGCATGAATAGTGCAAATCCTAACTCAATTCATAGAAATAGTTGATATTGTTAGATTGAAAAAAGTATATTATTATTAGAATCAGATCAATAAAATATTCTTAAAAATCAAATGCAATTTAAATATTACATACTAAAATAGTATTTTATTGTTGGTGTAAGTTTCAGAGACGGTTATTTTTATTAAAAGTTGATGAATTATCCATTAATAGTAATAATAATATTTTTTTAATTATCTTTATCATTATTTGTATTTTCAAAGTAATAAAATTTATAGGATAGTTACTTCGATTGATAAAACATTTAAGTTTAACTTAATTGTGACACCACATTAAAAATAAAGATATTATTCTTAAATTTTTTTTGTAAGTTATATTGTGAAGTGAGATAGTATTAAAGCATAGAAACATTATTATATCGATAGACTGATGATCGTTTCTTATAAATCATAAATAAAAAATTATCAATTCTTTACATATGTATAAATATTATGAGTACTGTTTATAAAAGATTGATCTGCCATGTAAATATTACAGAGTTTAAAGTAAGTGTCATAAGTTGTTTTTATAGTGATATTAATGCATACCACCCTTTGATTAGAAACCACTACGGGTCCTAGATGTGTACTCTACATATCATGTTGAGGGATATAGGTGACTTATATTAAATTTGTCTATCCTATGTAATACGATAAACATCCAATGACCTAATATTGAACTCAATAAGGATGACATGGTATATGTTTAGTGTTCAATATACACATGAGGAAAAATAGTAATTATACACATACATTATCACATAATTTTTTTATCTAATTACATGATATTTTCGTTACTTAGGTAGCAATTGTGTGTTGCTAGATGTTGTTCACTGTTTATTATAATAAATGTGTGATTTAATATAATTGTCAAAGTTACAGGAACTTGCAGAGTCACACACATAAGAACATATTGATGGAAGATAAAACAAATAAGTGAAATTTAATTGATGGTGAGGTCTTGTAATGCACCTATGTTAATTAGGAAAATATGGTATATTGTAAGATACAATGTACTTAAGTGAAATACGGAAATAAACATAAGGTGCAATATACTTAAGTGAAACAGGGTACACTTTAAGGTACATTGTGCTTAAGTGAGGTTGTTCAACTTAAAACCCACGTAGGTGGTTCTATAAATAGAACAATTGTGATAAAGTAAAATTCGTTTGACAAAATTTGATTTATGAAACCTTGGTTTTCTAAAACCTAGTGATGCTCTCTTTCTCTTGTTTGCGTGGACTGAGTAGAAGTGTCATTGTCCGTGCAATGTCTGTGATTGCTCTCTCAATCTGATTTCAACGATTAATCACTACAAGAAGTAATCGTTCGATCATTGACCATGATCATTCATAAGAACTTACCAAGAATAAGTCAGATTAAACTTGTTTCTAATTGTTGAAATGAATTAGTGATATTAGTGTTAGAAGTTGTAATTCAATATTTTAGAATGCAAGTTGTATTTGACTTAGGGGTGTTCGACCTAGTCGAAGTAGTAAGCTAGTTGAGTAAGAGTGAGTTGTATTCGATAGAGTCAAATACATCATATAGTTGTTGTGTCGAAGTGTATGTTTTTAGTTGCATATAAATAAGCATGGTACGATGTAAACATGTAACAAGTTTTGTATAGAAATTTCAGTTTATCATATCTTCATATATAATTTCTCTCTCCTCTCTATTTTATCATCTTCTTCATTCTTCTTGAAACCCTAATTATTCCAACAAATTGATATCAATGATCCCGGTTGCGATTCATTGAGAATCTAAAATGACAAACGTTAACACATCATCAATGAAATTTCCACGAATCTAACAATTTTCAAAGAGGAGAACTACGAGAGGTGGGTTGCGCAAATGAAGGTCATCTTCAAATTTCATGATGTGGCTGAAATCATGAGTGATGGAGTACTAGTATTGGAAGTGAATGTAAATGATGTTCATGAGGCTGCGCACAAGGAACGAAGGAAGAAAGATAGAAATCTATATTCTTGATACATCAATGTGTGGAACTTAACGTGTTTGAGAAGATCATTAAAGAGGAAATATCAAAGGGAGTGCGGGACAAGTTAAAGAACTTGTATGGTAGAAATGAAAAGCTAAAGAGGGTGAAGTTGCAAACACTAAGAAAGCAATTTGAGATGACTCAGATGATGTATGATGAATCAATCTCGAAATGCTTCTCGCGTGTGGTGTTACTAACAGACCAAATGAAGGCTTGTGGTAAATCAATCATTGATTTTCAATAGATTCAGAAAGTGTTGAAATCTCTGACTGCAAATTTTGATTACATTGTAGTATCTATTGAAGATTCCAAGAACCTAGTTGAGATAAAGGTGGAAGAACTTTAAGCTTCATTGGAAGCTCGTGAGATGAGACTGAAGCAGCAGAACTCAGAGAGGGATAAAGTGGTGAAATAGGCACTACAAGCAAGATTCATCAAGAAATCTATAAAAGAAAAGAAGAAGCAGAGAAAGAATGTTGCTAATGATGAAAAGTCAAGCAAGAATCCAAAGAATCATTTTGATTCAATCAAGAAAGTCACGCGTAACAAGTCTTCGGGGAAAAAAGTTGACATGAAGGGGTGTAGTGTTGCAACTGTCAAGATATGGTCATTATGCTCGAGATTGTCAAAGAAAGAAGGAATCATTAAAAAAAGATGATAATGAAGTGCAATAGAATAAAAGCGATGTTTAACCACTAAAACCCGATCAAGCAGGATCCTTTCTACCACGATACAAACTAACGCTTAAGCCTTCCGTGCGCGAGCATAAAATCAACATTTAATCGTTGGAATCTGATCTAAACATTCATTCATAAAATCAATCAACAAACACTCATTTGCTACCAAGAACTACATATATTTAAGTTCTTCATCGCACCTGGAGATATGTAGGAGCGAGATTCAACGTCTCATCAAGCGCTATAACTAAAAACCCAAAATTATCTTTCGTTTTTCCCAAAACTAAGTCGCTTTGAATTTCTCATCACACCTGATGATACGTAAGCGTAAGACTCACAATCTTGTCAATCACCCTAAGAAAAACCTTTTTGTGACCCTTTTTCTTTTCCTTTTAAAATTTCAATAATCGAAGAAAGCAAATAACTTAAGCTAAGATTCTATTCGCAAATCTAACTAAATGGTTCCTGTTGAGTACCACAGATGTGATGGGTGCTAATACCTTTCCCTCGCATAAACGAATCCCGAACCTGAATTTGGTTACGATGACCATTTTCTTTTTCTTTTAGGGTTTTATCAATATTTTCTCTTTCCTTTTGGAATAAATAAAGTTCGGTTGCGACTCTGTTTAATCATTCGCGAGCGTGCAATGCACTTGTAGGTCGTATTTTTCATGATCGAGAATGTTTAATGCAATAAATATGCACAATTAAACATGAAATTACACTGTAATACAACTATGTGGTTATTGTAATCATGAGTGAAAGATCAAATAATGCATGAACAAACAAATGAATACTTAAATCAACATAATTAAAATAATTCACTTAAAATGTTTTAAATGCATAAATGAACAGTTATACTGTCATCTCAGATTTCGACACAGACATTTAATAGTAGAGATGAGATAAAGATCATGATATAGAGTTGTGGAAAGGTCAAAGTGGCTAATCAAGATTATAAGGTCTTTTTTGATCTATCAAAAGATAGTTTCAATTTTGGTCAAATGTTGCAATAAGTAAGAGGCCAAAGAGGTTCATTGATTTTGGGAAATATTTAAATTCAGATTCCTCAAATTCTCTCTGTGAAGTTAAAATGAGGCATGATTGGATAAGACCAAGTAGTTATTCAAGGACATGTGGTGTCCTATCGAAGCTGAAGGTTGCATGGAGACGAAGAGGTGGCGTATTTGGCTTAGTCGACCGTTGTAGATGATTATTCTAGAGTAATACATAAGTAGATGTTTGTTTATGTTTTAAGGGTCTGTAATTGTATGCAAAGTTCTACAAACTCAAAGTATATGTATGATTGAGAAAGGAGTAAGAAATGTACGTATGCGTTCCACTTTTATAAAATTCAAGTCTTTTACGTTCATGTCAGTTTATGCATTTAAGTTATCTTCAGTCATTTTACTTTCAAGTTCTTTACGTTTCAATTAGTTTTCATTTTTAATCCTTAATCAAACATTACATTTCGACTTTGATGTCAATTTGCTCAGTTCATGATTCACACAAATATGTCATGTGATCTTTTCGAGTTTAATCCCTTAAGTATTAATTGAAACTTTTTTTGGCACGCCCGACGGGACCTTTTTGTGTGAATTTTTACTTTGAGCTTGTGAAAATTGTTGTTGTAAATTTCATTTAAGAGACTTCTCAAAGTGTGAGTATGCATGAGATTGAGGAATGGTAAAAGAACCACACAAAAAAAGTTAGGAATCAACGAGGAAGTACACTAGAAGAATGGTTTCTCCCATAAACAATAATGGAGAACAACCATCTAATAGCACGGGGGCAAGCACGATCGCTACAAGTT